AACTTAAGAAAACTACAGAAATACGGATTTATTTTCTAAAAAAAAAGTTTCTAATTGGTATTAAACGACTAAGATAGTGTGCGTTTGTTGATTGCAATGTTCCTTTAAATTAAATAAGTACTATAAACACAGACTACAGATCAAAATAAATTTACTAAAATTGATTTTTTCATGTACCAAACAATTAATACAATTGAAATAGCGCATTAGCGTTTCTCAACTTTTCTGATGCGCAACAGAACATATTTATTTGTAGATGTACTATGAACCAGATTTTTTTTATCAGTTCCTCATTTTGACGTAAGGTGATAACTATAATTTCTTGACCCCTTAAAAATTTAACGTTGCCCAATTTTAGGTCGCCATACATGGGTTGAGAAATGCTAGTCTACTTAGTGTTTTCTTAATGTACTAATATATTTTAGTACCTAGGTTGTAAATTAACGAAAACTCCATTAACAGATTTAAGAACTGCGAAATTTCCTAATATCATATCAAATCCGGGTACCGGGTTAATCTTAAAGTTCTTCAGGATTTTGACCACGGTATATTTCATAACCATCATTGCGTATTTTTGTCCTGAAATAAACCAAACATCAACGCATTAAGAACATCTAATTCTAGACATACCTATGCAGTTTCGAGGACCAGCACTGAAAGGGGCGAAACAAAACTCGTTCCTTTTGGCGTTGTTCTCCGGTGTGAATCTTTCCGGATCGAAATGGTCGGGGTTGGGAAAATGATCGGGATCTCTGTGCAAACCGTAAAAGTGCACACAAATGTTTGTCTTCGCTGGTATCAAATATCCATCTGAACAAAACAAACTTTAAGATTTTTAACAATTTATTTGTATGCTTACCAATGGTGAAGTCCTTCCGTATAAGCCTCTCCGTGAAAGGTACTGGCGGATGTAGCCTCATGGATTCTTTTAGGACGCATTCCATATAAGGCAACTTGTTTATTTACTAAGCGTTATCTCCTCATTTCCGGAGATATTTTCATCGATTTCCTGGATCAACCTCTCCTGCACACCCTGATTCTTCCCAAGCTCGAAGATCACCATGCTCAGAACCGAAGCAACGGTGTCGTGTCCCTGCAAATATGCATTAAAATGAGTTGTTCTTATCGCATCAAACTTACCGCAAATATGAGCGTATCCACTTCATTTCTAACTTCAGTTTGGGTCAAATTACCGTCTCTTACGATATTCAGAAACATATCCATCATATCTTTAGGTTTGTCGCAATCTTTATTATGGAAATTCGATATTTTCTCCTTGATCACGTTGTTCGCGAACGATTTTATCAATTCGACATGTTCCATCTGTTCCTTGCTGGCATCCATGAAACTGTACAGAAAATCGTTGGTCTTCACTAGTGAAAACAAGCGTGCTAAGTGCAACTCCAAGAATCTGTTGCAGGATTTCCCGTATTGCAACTCAGGATTCAGTTGGGCATTTATCTCATGACCCATCGCTGATTCTATATTAACCAAAACGAAAACGCTTTAATCGTATTTGCAAACATTGCAATTTCAAATTACCGCAGATCATGTCCAATGAATATAAATTAATTAATGGGAAGACATCGAAGGGAACTGAAATATTCTCCCTTATTTTGTCAACTAATATATTAGAAAGTCGCTCAAATGTTGGGATGAAGCCCTCCAAAATTTTCGTGTTGAACATCGGATTCAAAAGTTTCCGGTTCTTTCGCCAGGTTGTCGCTGTAATAATTTTTAAAATAAATACGTGCATGTGTGTGTCTTATTTGTAAGCATTACCATCAGTCACCAGAATTCCGTTTCCTAGCCAAACCTCAAGTAATCTATAGAGTCGCGTCCTATGTATGTGCTCCGAAGATCCTAATATTATTTCCATATATTTGGCTCCTGATATCATCACCGTCGGGTATTCGGTGTTGTTCCAGAAACGCAATATTGGACCGTGCTCTTCGAATAATCGTTGCATGTTCTTCAAAAAATCTGTACAAATGACAACAAAATGAAACACGAATCAATTGAAGTATTTAGATTTAATTAAGTTACTCATTAGCTAATTAGCTAATAAGTGTAAGTCACTAAAAAATTACATTATATTTTATAAAAAAAATAATAGATGATTATACAATTTTAACATAATTTAGTTAGAAATATGTTTTAATCAGGGCCGTATAGTGCTATGATGCAAAGAGGCAGCGCTAGCACTTAAAAATCATTTGGAACTGGTTTTAATAATTGCAATATTTAATTGAATCATTATAAAATAGTTCAAGAAAAACGTTTTTAATTTTATTTAATAATTTTATTTTGTGAATAGTTCTTGAAGACAAAAATTGCTTAATTATATATGTTATAAATTATTTGCTTATTTATGTATAAAATAAAGGTTACTTTATTTAAATTATAACTATTTTTTACCAAACTTTGATTAGCCCTAATTTCGACCATGAATCTATCAATCAGAGCATTTTTGCTAAATATTTATTTTTAATTTTTGTATAACTCTTGCAATAAACATTATTTTATATAAATATTTTAAGCATTTGCATTTGTTATTATTACTGAGAAATTATAATTCAGTTTAATTTGTAGTAATTATTTATAAATTTGTGATTGGTATTTGATTGCTTGCAAATTATTGAGAATGTTATTTAGAAAACGAACATCATTTTTTATAAATAACGTCTACTGTAATTTTGCTGTTGTAATTAAATAATTTGATGTTTGTTCTAAATTAGATACTTTGTGATTACGTAATTTACTTATGCTTTTAAGGTATTCACTTGTAAAAGTTTCAAAATTTTTCAATGAGCGAAGGATTTTGAATCCTATTTCCTAATTTTTCACTTTCACTTTGTGTTGCACACAGATTTCTTACATTTCTCATTATTTTCATTAAAGTTGCCATTAAATTATTAATTATTCATTGACAATTTTAACTGTTTACTCTGTTTTAGCCAATATTTATACATATCGTGTCTTATTATGCGGTGTAATCAATTTTACAACTGTTATTTTTTGTATTTTTAAGATTCGGTGAAATATTATTTTTTGTTGGTTCAGCACATTCTTTACTTCTAGCATCAATATATTATAAGTATCGATAATGTATATTTTGTAATAGTCAATAAAATCATAACTATTATAATAATTAAAGCAACATCTTTAAAATACATTTTTTTTTATAAAATTTGAAATCCACTAAATTAATTGTAAGACAACCTAAATTCCCATTCCAAACAACTCAAATCCAAAATTATATCCAGATCCCGTCATTTCCGTTCCTTAATCTTCCGTAACACCGAAATATCCATAATGTGTCAAACATCCATTTACAAATCCATATGCTGTCCTTTCCTTCGGTTTCCCAATGCCGAAATCCCGTCCGCCCTTCGTATTCTCACCAAAATACAATCTACACAATACCTCTACACAATCCTCCTAATGATCTCATTTACTCCAAAACCAAAATAGTCCCTCTCCTTGACCGATAACTTTCATTCTCCTTGACATTTAAATCCAAACAGTCCGACATCGCCTCCCTCTCTAAATTTTGTGCCACTCAAAACCCAAATATCCTTTCCAAATTTAAATATACCACATTATCCCTATTTCAATACCTAATATCCCTCGATTGATACCCTCTTGTTCCTACTCCGCTGCTTTTTTTCTTCATTCTTCTGTTTTTCATATGTATATATTTTTATTGTTCCATAATTAAATTTATGTTCCCGGGCGGGCCAGCCTATTAATATTTTTTTATCATTTATTTATTTATAGAATGTATTTTTTTTGAATTGATGTCCGGCCAATAAATTATTATTATTAATTGTAAGATTTATTTACATTTTTCTATAACTTTTCATTGGCTATTAACTTTAATTCGTTTAAAATTAGTCTGACATACCTACTGGATTGTTACCAAATTCTAGGATTGTTCCAATAAACGGATAGTTCTTAGGTCCAGGCAAATTCAGAACATCCTTGCAACGTTTGCGGACTTGCCATGATTTGAAATAAAGAAAACCAACTAGAATCGCGATCAGAACCAACACCAACATTTTTACGCGCTCAGTTCAAAGTTTTTAAAGAATGTGTTCGGTTCGTTTACAAACCCACAATATATAGCTGTATGTAAATAGAAGTTACACAATTAGTACATTAATGACGTTCTGAGGCTGCGATTAGACTAAGTATTTTTTATGTATGATATGAAAGATTTGAATATTGTTTTATTAACTCACAGATTTTTCTGGTTATTTCACTTATTAAAGTCAGATACCCAATCAGGATTCCATTTTTCTGCGATAAAAATTGAATCGGAAAATTTGTATAATGCTTCAATGGGTCAAGGTCAGTGATCATCAAATAATTTAACATCATCGGCTAATTTAACATCAATTCAAGCGTTGACTAGACGTTTCTACATGTAGGGGATTTCTCCCAAGCGGGGGTTTATTGATAAGAACATCAATTATTTTTATACAAATTATCTTTGAGATAACTGATATTTTTGCTGTACCATTAATCTTTTTATATATGGTTACAAAAGTCGTAATGTGCGTAACAAAAGCATTCGTTTTTTATTGGAATTCAAATGGAAATATCGAAATATTTAGTAATTAGGATATTTCAGTAAATATAAGAACAAGAAGAAGTTAAATCATGTATATTCTAACTGTAAGTCAAATATGATTTTTGAATACAAAATCTCTAAATTTTTTTGAGGAAACATTTAGTTTGTTAATCATGTTTGGTATGGATCCCTTAGTTTCCAAACTAAGTTTTCAAATGAAACATATGTGGATATCACATCTATCAAATATTGATGATATAATTAAGTGTTTTAATACAAATCAAACTATACATGTAGTTAGATACTATTTCATAATTGTTTACATATTGATTAGTAATTTATAACTTTGTTTGTTTTATTTTTTGTTCTAAAAAAAGTAATTAATTAAATATATAATTTGAAGAAAAAAATATGAAAATGTGCGTATATTTGCAATATGCCATTAAATTAAATATGTACTATAATTTTTATTATCAGTTCCTCACTGAAATTAGGTGATAGCTATCATTTCTTGACCCCTTAAAAATTTAACGCGACCCAATTTTGGATTGAGAAACGTTGGTCCACTTAATATTAATGCTTTCTTAATGCACTAATATTTTTATATTACCTAAGTTGTAAATTAACGCAAACTCCATTAACAGATTTAAGAACTGCGAAATTTCCTAATATCATATCAAATCCAGGTACCGGGTTAATCCTAAAGTTCTTCAGAATTTTGACAACGGTATATTTCATAACCATCATGGCGTATTTTTTTCCTGAAATAATCCAATCATCAGCGCGCATTAAAAACATCTAAATCTAGACATACCTATGCAGTTTCGAGGACCAGCACTGAACGGGGCGAAACAAAACTCGTTCCTTTTGGCGCTGTTCTCCGGTGTGAATCTTTCTGGATCGAAATGATCCGGGTTGGGAAAATGTTTGGGATCCCTGTGCAAACCATGAAAGTGCACGCAAATGTTTGTCTTCGCCGGTATCAAACATCCATCTTAACAAAAGAAACTTTAAGTTTTTTAAATAATTTGTATGTAAGCTTACCAATGGTGATGTCCTCCTGTATAAGCCTCTCCGTAAAAGGTACTGGCGGATGTCGCCTCATCGATTCTTTAAGGACGCATTCCATATAAAGCAACTTGTTTAATTTACTAAGCGTTATCTCCTCATTTCCGGAGATATTTTCATCGATTTCCTTGAACAACCTCTCCTGCACATCCTGATTCTTCCCGAGCTCGTAGATTGCCATGCTCACAACCGAAGCAACGGTGTCGTGTCCCTGCAAATCCGCATTAAAATGTGTTGCTATTAACGCATCAAACTTACCCCGAATATGAACGAATCCACTTCATTTCTAATTTCAGTTTGAGTCAAATTACCGTCTCTTACGATTTTCAAGAATATATCCATCATATCTTTAGGTTTGTCGTAATTTTCATCATGAAAATTCGATATTTTCTCCTTGATCACGTTGTTCGTGAACGATTTCATCAATTCGACGTGTTCGAGCTGTTCCCTGCTGGCATCCATGAAACTGTACAGAAAATCGTTGGTCTTCACCAGAGAAAACAAGCGTGCTAAGTGCAACTCCAAGAATCTTTTGCAGGATTTCACGTATTGCAACTCAGGATTCAATTGAGCATTTATCTCATGACCCATCGCTGATTCTATATTAACCAAAAACAAATTGTTTTAATCGTATTTGGAAATTTTGCAGTTTCAAAATACCGCAGATCAAATCCAACGAGTATAAATTAATTAATGGGAAGATATCAAAAGGAACTGAAACATTCTCCCTTATTTTGTCAAGTAATGTATCAGAAAGTCGCTGGAATGTTGGGATGAAGCCTTCCAAAATGTTCGTGCTGAACATCGGGTTTAAGAGTTTCCTGTGCTTTCGCCAAGTTGTCGCTGTAATAATTTTCAATAAATACCATAGTATGTGTCTTATTTGTAAACATTGCCATCGGTCACCAGAATTGCGTTTCCTACCCAAACCTCCAAAAATCTATAGAGTCGCGTCCTGTGTATGTGCTCCGAAGATCCTAAGATCATTTCCATGTATTTGGCTCCTGATATCATCACCGTCGGGTATTCAGTGTTGTTCCAGAAACGCAATATCGGACCGTGCTCTTCGAATAATCGTTGCATGTTTTTTAAAAAATCTGTACAAATAACAACAAATAAAAACAGGTATCAATATTTTTAAATTGATATATTTAGATTTAGGTTTCTCATCTAATTGGCTAACAAGTCTAAGTCCCTAAAAAATACATTTTAATATAATTTAGTTAGAGATATGTCTGAATAAGAACCGTGTGTTACTTTGATGCAAAGAGGCAGCTGCATCAGACAACACCGCGAGCGATTTAGGGGCTTTTATAATATTTTGCAGATGGGAGCTATTACATCAGTATTTTATATATATATATTATAAGTATTAATTATAATTATTATAAAATATATTTTGCACGAAAGATTTATAACTTTTCATTAGTTATATACTTTAATTATAGTTTTAAATTAGTCTGACATACCTACAGGATTGTTTCCAAATTCTAGGATTGTTCCAATAAACGGATAGTTCTTCGGTCCCGGCAAATTCAAAACATCTTTAAAACGTCTGCGGACTTGCCATGATTTGAAATAAAGAAAACCAACTAGAATCGCCATCAAAACTAACGTAAACATTTTCACTCGCTCAAGTCAAAGGTTTTAAAGTATATGTTCAGCTCGTCTACAAACCAACAATATATACATTGGTGTATGTAAATAAAAGTTTTAGAAAACTGGTTTTTTTTAGACATTTTTCAAAAATTCGAAAATCAGATTCAACTGAAAAACCGGTTTTTGAGTCTAGACTTAAAATAGAGAAATAAATTTAATAAAATATATGTAGTAAAATTCAAATATTCAAACAAATATCAGTTAAAGATCTTCTTACAAAAAAGCTTACAAAAAATTCACCATTTCAAAACAAAGAACCGTTTGAGTAATAGATCCATGACATTTCAACATTTAGTTTCTATAAAATGTATGGTTTCTAGAAAGTTTCAATACAAAATATTGTAAGTAATATTTTTTTTGTACATAAATTATCTCAATTAAAAATATAATTGCTGTCCAATTTCCACGCAATTTACATATTACAAAGTTGCGTACAACCATAAATTTAGTTAGACAGCCTCAATTTTATAATTGTTTACATATCGATTCATAATTTATAAGTTTAGTTGTTTTATTTTCTTTGTAGCAAAAAAAAATATTTTCTATAATTTAAATAAACGCTACAGTATTTACTCAGTCAATTATTTGGGAAGTAGATTATTAAGAAACAAATAACAAATTTGTTGAACCTCTACAAATGATCAAAATATAGATTTGAGTTGAAAAAAGCAAGTCTTCTGACTGGTTTTGAGTATTAAACGACAAAGATTGTGAAAATGTGCGTATGTTGATTGCAATATTCCTTTAAATAAAATAAGTACTATAAACACAGATTACGGATCAAAATAAATGTATTATAATTAATTTTCCATATAACAAACAAACAATACAGTTGAAATAGTCTACATCAGCGTTTCTCAACCTTTCTGCAGTTCGACCCAACATATTTATTTGTAGTTGTACTGCGACCCAATTATTTTTTTTACCAGTTTTTTACTTTGACCCTTAGTGACAGCTGTCATTCCTTGACCCCTTAAAAATTTAACGCTGCCCAAATTTGGGCCGCCAACCATAGTTTGAGAAATGCTGGTCTACTTAATATTAATGCTTTCTTAATGTATATTTTTATTTTATATCATTTCCTAGGATGCAAATTAACAAAAACTCCATTAATAGATTTAAGAACTACGAAATTTCCTAATATCATATCAAATCCGGGTACTGGGTTAATCTTAAAGTTCTTCAGGATTTTTACCACGCTATATTTCATAACCATCATGGCGTATTTTTTTCCTGAAATAATTCAATCATCAGCGCATTAAAAATATCTAAATCTAGACATACCTATGCAGTTTCGAGGACCAGCACTGAAAGGGGCAAAACAAAACTCGTTTCTTTTGGCGATGTTCTCCGGTGTGAATCTTTCTGGATCGAAATGATCGGGGTTGGGAAAATGTTCGGGATCCCTGTGCAAACCGTGAAAGTGCACGGAAATGTTTGTCTTTGCCGGTATTAAACATCCATCTTAAGAAAACAAATTTTAAGTTTTTTATCTATTTGTGTGTAAGCTTACCAATGGTGATGTTCTTCTGTAAAAGCCTCTCCGCGAATGGTACTGGAGTATGTAGCCTCATGGTCTCTTTAAGGACGCATTCCATATAAGGCAACTTGTTTAATTTACTAAGCGTTATCTCCTCATTGCCGGAGATATTTTCATCGATTTCCTGGAACAACCTCTCCTGCACACCCTGATTCTTTCCGAGCTCGAAGATCGCCATGCTTAGAACCGTAGTAACGGTGTCGTGTCCCTACAAATCTCCATTAACATGTGTTTCTCATATCGCATCAAACATACCGCAAATATAAACGTATCCATTTCATTTTTTACTTCAGTTTTGGTCAAATTACCGTCTCTTGCGATTTTTAGGAAACAATCCATCATGTCTTTAGGTTTGTCGCAATCTTCATCACGAAAATTCGATATTTTCTCTTTCATCACGTTGTTCACGAACGATTTCAACACTTCGGCGAGTTCGATCTGTTTCTTGCTAGCATCCATGAAACTGTAAAGAAAATCGTTTGACTTCACCAGAGAAAACAAGCGTGCTAAGTACAACTCGAAGAACCTTGTGCCGGATTTTACGTATTGCAAATCGGAATTCAATTGGGCATTTATCTCATGACCCATCGCCGATTCTATATTAACCAAAAATAAATCGTTTTAATCGTATTTGGAAATTTTGCAATTTCATATTACCGCAGATCAAATCCAGAGTGTATAAATTAATTAATGGGTAGATATCGAAAGGAACTGAAACATTCTCCCTTATTTTGTCAACTAATATATCAGAAAGTCGCTGGAATGTTGGAATGAAGCCCTCCAAAATTTTCGTGCTGAACATCGGATTCAAGAGTTTCCTGTGCTTTCGCCAGGTTGTAGCTGTAATAATTGTCAAAATAAATACGTGTATGTGTGTGTCTTATTTGTAAGCATTGCCATCGGCCACCAGAATTCCGTTTCCTAGCCAAACCTCCAGGAATCTATAGAGTCGCGTCCTGTGTATGTGCTCCGAAGATCCTAAAATTATTTTCATGTATTTGGCTCCTGATATCATCACCGTCGGGTATTCAGTGTTGTTCCAGAAACGCAATATCGGACCGTGCTCTTCGAACAATCGTTGCAAGTTCTTTAAAAAATCTGTACAAATAACAAAAAAAAAAAAGAAGAATCAATATTTTTAAATTGAAGTATTTAGATTAAATTATTTCAATATTTAATTATTGGCAATATAAAATCATACTGGCCAAACAAGTTATTTTGTTACATATCATTTTGCGGACTAACGTCCTTTGTGATCTCGTCACTACTATGTTTCTTGTTCAATTCAATTTAATAAGTTTAAATACATTTAGTTGGTAAAAGCAAGAATTGCTTAATGGCGTTTAAATTATAAAGATAGGGGAGGCGGATCAATAAGGATCTAATACACATTTGTTTAGGGACCTCAAAGAGTAAAACTAACTGATGTCTAGGTTCCACAGCTTTCTTAATGTGGCACTGCGCTCAATGATTTTCACTATTTCAAAAAAAGATTTGCCTCATTACAGCAAATTTATCTTCGGTTGTACTTAAAATATTCCGAGCGATTTAGGGGTTCTAATAATATTTTGTAGGGGTGGGGGGTGCAAGATTTAAAGTTCTGACACTGCGTGCATTGGTTATTTATTTATATATAAAATAAAGAATTATTTCAAAAATACAAACATATTCTTAAGATTCGATGAAATATTATTTTTTTCTGAATCAAAATTTTTCATTTCTAGTATCAATATATTATAAAATAATGTATATTTACTAGTAGTCAATAAAATTATAATTTTTATAGCAACCTCTTTGAAATATATTTTGTACTAAATTAATTGAAAGATTTATGACTTTTCATTGGTTATTAACTTAAATTATTAGTTTAAAGTTAGCCTGACATACCTACAGGATTGTTTCCAAATTCTAGGATTGTTCCAATAAACGGATAGTTCTTAGGTCCAGGCAAATTCAGAACATCCTTGCAACGTCTGCGAACTTGCCATGATTTGAAATTAAGAAAAACAATTAGAATCGCGATCAGAACGTACGCCAACATTTTCAGGCGCTCAGATCAAAGTTTTCAAAAAATATGTTCAGTTTGTCTACAAATTAACAATATATACCTAGAAGAGACTAATTTGTTGATGTATGATATGAAACATTTGAATATTCTTTTATTATGCCACATATCTTTTTCCACGTATTTCACTTATTCAAGTAAAATGCACAATAACGTTGTTATTTGTAAGATGCATATTGTTGCACAATGAATGGGTCAAGGCCAGTGGTTTTCATATTTCATTAAATAGGTTAATTTAACATTAATTATTAACTGTGACTCGTTGTAGGGTCCTTTTTTTTTTGTTTTCGAATAACGGTTTTTTTCAATTAAAAACCGTTTTTCGAGTCTAGATTTAAAATATACAATTAAATCTCTTTACAAATAAGATTAGATTTTCGAAATTGGGGACTTCACTGTATGTCCATGGGAAACAAGTTTATTCCGTGGAACGAATCTGTGACAACCAATAAATGACAAAGAACACAAATTTTCGCTTCAACTACTCTTTGCCAAAAGAGTGTCCAGTTTTCCAGAAGGAAAAAAATATGTAATAACGTGAAAAAAAATCTAGTAGTAGTAACGAATGTGTGCACGTGGCAAATGTGAATATTGTCTATTTCTGCAGGACCTGTTTGAACAATAGATCTATAATTTTTTTTAAATTGTTATCTGAGAAAAATATAAGAAATAAAATAATTAACATTTAGTTTGTAAAAAATGTTTGGTGTCCAGAAAGTTTCAAAACAAAATTTTCAAACCAAAATTCTAAAAATTGACTGCAGATATTTCTTTGCTTGTACATAAATGATCGTTTTAATTTCTCTATGCAGGTATGTCTCTTTTTGTGTGGTATATGTGTGTATGTATTTAGTTCCTCTAATAATAATAATAACTTATTGGCCAGACATAAATAAATAAAAAAAGAATACATTCTATAAATAAATGCTAATATCAACAACTAAATAATAATAACAATTCTCAAAACAAATAAATAAATTCTAACATAAATTTAAAAAAAAATGTATATTAATAGGCTGGCCAAAGGGCTATCGACCGAGGTCGTTCCGCCCGGGAACTTAATTATGGAACAATAAAAATATATATGAAAAACAGAAGAATGATGAAAAAAAAGTAGCGGAGAAGGAACAAGAAGGTATCAATCGAGGGACATTAGGTATTGGAATAGAGATAATGTGGGATATTTAAATTTGGGAAGGATGTTTGGGTTTTGAGGGGAACATAATTTAGAGAGGGAGACGATGTTGGACTGTTTGGATTTACATTTCAATGAGAGGGAAAGGTATCGGAAAGGTCAAGAAGAGGGACTATTTTGGTTTTGGAGTAAAGATCATTAGGAAGATTGTGTAGAAGATAATTAGGATGTCGTCTCAGTTCTGCACGAGTCTATATCGCGACTCGTGCAGAACTGTAGTTCCTTTATTAGTCCCGTTTCAAACAAATTTCAGAATTTCTCGTCAAACGTTCCAACATTATAACGTAAATATTTAATTCCTGGTTATAAGCAGGAATGATGTCACAATTAAACGAATTTATATAATTGCTGTCCAATTTCCACGCAATTTACATTTTGAGCAGTTGCGTTTTCAAATATAAAGTTAAGCAGCTTTATAAGTTTCTTTGATTGATTTTTCGTAGTAAAAAGTAATTAATTCAATTTTTTCTATAATTTTACTCAGTCAATTGTTTGGGAAGTGGATTATTAAGAAACAAATAACAAATTTGTTGAGCCTTTAAAAATGATGAAAATATAGATCAGAGTTGAAAAAAAGTTTTACTTTAAATTCCTTTAAATTAAATATGTACTATAAACTCATAAATATTCTAGATTACTGATCAAAATAAATTTATTATAATTGATTTTTCCATATACCAAAGAAATAATACAATCCAAATAATCTACATCAGTGTTTCTCAACCTTTCTGCTGCGCGACCCAACATATTTATTTGTAGTTGTGCTGCGATTTATTTGTTTTTTCGCAGTTCCTCACTTTCACACTTGTGATGGGTTACCATGGGTTAAGAAACGCTGGTCTAATGCTATCTTAATGTACTAATATTTTTGTATTATATAATTACCTAGGATGTAAATTAACGAAAACTCCATTAACAGATTTAAGAATTGCGAAATTTCCTAATATCATATCAAATCCGGGTACCGGGTTAATCTTAAAGTTCTTCAGGATTTTGACCACGGTATATTTCATAACCATCATGGCGTATTTTTTTCCTGAAATAATTCAATCATCAGCGCATTAAAAATATCTAAATCTAGACATACCTATGCAGTTTCGAGGACCAGCACTGAACGGGGCGAAACAAAACTCGTTCCTTTTGGCGCTGTTCTCCGGTGTGAATCTTTCCGGATCGAAATGATCGGGGTTGGGAAAATATTCAGGATCCCTGTGCAAACCGTGAAAGTGCACGCAAATGTTTGTCTTGGCCGGTATCAAACATCCATCTTAACAAAATAACTTTAAGTTTTTTAACAATTTGTATGTAAGCTTACCAATGGTGATGTCCTTCCGTAAAAGCCTCTCCGCGAAAGGTACTGGCGTATGTAGCCTCATGGATTCTTTAAGGACGCATTCCATATAAGGCAACTTATTTAATTTACTAAGCGTTATCTCCTCATTTCCGGAGATATTTTGATCGATTTCCTGGAACAATCTCTCCTGCACATCCTGATTCTTTCCAAGCTCGAAGATCGTCATGCTCAGAACCGAAGTAACGGTGTCGTGTCCCTGCAAATCCTCATTAAAATATGTTGCTCTTAGCGCATCAAACTTACCCCGAACATGAAGGTATCCACTTCATTTATAATTTCAGTTTTGGTCAAATAACCGTCTCTTGCGATTTTCAGGAACCAATCCATCATATCTTTAGGTTTGTTGTAATCTTCATCATGGAAATTCGCTATTTTCTCTTTGATCACGTTATTCACGAACAATTTCATCAACTCGATGTGCTCGTTCTGTTCTTTGCTGGCATCCATGAAACTGTACAGAAAATCGTTGCTCCTCACCAGAGAAAACAAGCGAAATAAGTGCAACTCGAAGAATCTTTTACCGGATTTTACGTATTGAAACTCGGGATTCAATTGAGCATTTATCTCATGACCCATCGCCGATTCTATATTACCCAAAAATAAATCGTTTTAATCGTATTTGTAAATTTTGCAATTTTAAATTACCGCAGATCAAATCCAACGAGTATAAATTAATTAATGGGAAGATATCAAAAGGAACTGAAACATTCTCCCTTATTTTGTCAACTAATATATCAGAAAGTCGCTGGAATATCGAGATGTAGCCCTTCAAAATGTTCGTGCTGAACATCGGATTCAAGAGTTTCCTGTGCTTTCGCCAGGTTGTTGCTATAATAATTGTCAAAATAAATATGTGTATGTATGTGTCTTATTTGTAAGCATTGCCATCGGTCACCAGAATTCCATTTCCAAGCCAAACCCTCAGGAATCTATAGAGTCGCGTCCTGTGTATGTGCTCCGAAGATCCTAATATTATTTCCATATATTTGGCTCCTGATATCATAACCGTCGGGTATTCAGTGTTGTTCCAGAAACGCAATATCGAGCCGTGCTCTTCGAACAACCGTTGCATGTTCTTCAAAAAATCTGTACAAATTACAACGAAATAAAACACGAATCAATATTTTTAAATTGAACTATTTAGATTTAATTAAGTTTATCATCTAATTAACTTAGATGTATTAAGTCCCTAAAAAAATACATCATAATTTTAAAAATTAATTGTACCATTTTAATATAGTTAGAAATATGTTTTATTAGCCCCAATTTCGGCCATGGATCTACCAAGCAGAGCATTTTTGGTATTCACTTGTGAAAGTTTAATAACTTTTCACTGAGCCAATGATTTTAAATCCCATTTCTCAATATTTCGCTTTTACTCATATATTTCTCATTACATTGTTGAATCTGAATCATTTATTTAATTATTTAGTCTCTTTTAGGCTTTACATCAATAAATTATTTTTATTATTGTTGTTGTTGTTACTGTGCTTGTATAATCAATTTTACAACTGTCATTGTTTACATTTTTTTTTATTCTTAAGATTCGGTGAAATATTATTTTTTGCTGAATCAACGTTGTTTATTTCTAGTATCAATATATTATAATTATTTATATGTTTTAATAACTTAATATTGTTATCTAAAAAGTTTAAAATTAATCTGACATACCTACAGGATTGTTTCCAAATTCTAGAATTGTTCCAATAAACGGATAGTTCTTAGGTCCCGGCAAATTCAGAACATCCTTGCAACGTCTGCGGACTTGCCATGATTTGAAATAACAAATACCAATTAGAATCACGATCAGAATAAACTTCAACATTTTCACGCGCTCATGTCAAACTTTTTGAAGAGTATGATCAGTTCCTCCACAAACCTACAATATATACACACAATTTACAATTTACACAATCAGTGCATGATATGAAATATTTGAATATTCTTTTCAAGTGAGATGCACTGATTTCATTTTTCTATGATGGAAATCCGAAAATTTGTGTGATTCATCATATTGTTGCACAAACTGCAAGTAATCTTTCATAAATGAGTGATGAAATAAATGATTAGGTTTCTTTAGTACTTTTTGCTTCTTTTTCTGCTATACATTAAAATTTGACTTTGTTGTCAGTTAGTAACCATATTTTATAAATTACTTTCTTAGTACCAGAGAGTCGAACCGGAATCGAACCATAATCGTAACGTAAAATTGCTCAATTAAGAAAATTTTAATTAAGGTTAATTTCGGTTCAATTATTATTTTTTCATTCAATTAATTAATATTCGCTTTCTTCCATGTTTGATATTTGATGGTCGTGTGCTAAAACTTTGCTTTGAATACTCCGAATTCTTTTTTCAAATAAATAAATAATAAACAAAACCATAAAGGCCGAATTCTGTGGGAACGCTTAATAATCAATATAAATAAAGCCCTTCTCCCGTTTTCATCACTTCAAAAACAAAAACCTCTCAAACAACCACCGGCTTGCGCAACTAACATTAGAACAAACTGAAATGAAAGTCATTAAAAATGATATTAATGTAAATATAACCGAAGACACATTACAATGCGCATGTGTTGAACTAGTCACTAATTAAGGTTTATTTCTTTTGAAATTTCAATTTTTTAATTGATAACAATAGTAAGAAAGGAATTTGGTAACTAAAATTATACCAAAATTTGAAATGATTTAGTAATTATAAATGCGTCAAACGCTATTTAAATTTAAATTAATTAATAATTGGTTCAAGATTTTTCTTCGCGTTGTTATTATTATTAAATAATTTCATAACAAAGTAAATAGGTTTAAAGTGCATCATTATTAGTCAAAACGTAAACAAAGTTTTCTGTCAGTTAAATACATCTATAAATATAAACAAATTTACTTTACTGTAATAAGTGTATTTGTTAAGATTGTCTTCTAACTATAATAAATAAAAGCAAATCATTTATTTTTTTGTAATAGAATATTTATTTATTGTAACTTTAAAACAGTACAAAACAAATTGGTAATAAGTTGGAAATTGGAAGTATTTCCTCCATGCCAACAATAGAAAATAATTTCCTAAGCTACATTTAGAAAGAACAAAAACAAAAGAAATTCTAAACTAATAATCAATTATCGATTATTATCATGCATCTAAATAAATTGCATTACCTTATCCGAACGTATACAAAAAATAGAACGAGAGTGAAAAAAGAAAATAATTCATCTTAGATATTTATAGCTTATAAAGAATATAATTTATTTCTAATAAAAATTCAACAATTATTTTTTACAATTAATGTCTCATTAAACCGATTTTATCTTGTCTTTCATAAATTCGGTTTAAACATTGTTTTTTTTTCTTCACATTTTATACAATGTTTGCTTTCTACATTTTCGGGGATATTTCGAACTGAAAAAAAAATATATAAGTGTCTAGTCAATCATCCGTCACTACTAATGTATTAAGAAAACTGTAGATAAAATCCATTGAATGAATTATGATTCTGTATAAAATAAAAAAATGATATATGATTTCATGAATACACATAAAAATAAACATTCGCGGGATACTCTGTACATAATATACAATGATGATTCACTCATCACATAGTTTTTTTTATATATATAAAATTCATCGTTACATATATAAAACTTAATCGCTGTCTCAGAACCTCAGATGAGGTTTATACTGCAATATGTATTTGTCCAGTTTCTCCCAGAAGACCATCAGAGCGGCCCTATCCAAATGCCTTTTCGTCCGGGAAAGCTGAATGACAGTGACAGACCAACGAGCAACGTTGCTATCAAGTTTCATTTCGTCGTACTTCAGATGGAAAGCGCAAACTGAAAGTAAAGAAAACAAATGTTAATATGATGTAAATTAGATTTGTCTTTAAGGTGTACTTACTTTTTGCGAATATCTCAGTGGGATTCTCCCATGGGTAGCCTTTGAATTGCCACGCTGGTCCCATGACAAATACAGCTACAACGCGATCCCAATCGCTAGGGCTCAACTTGGCGGGATTATCCACCACCCTGTAAGGTACCGTCACTCCATTGCGTTGTCTTTGCAACAACACTTCATTGTCGCGACGAGCGCCCTCAGCCTTCTTCACCTCAATAGAAACAAATTTCAAATCCTGCAAAACATCTTTCACATTGTACATGGAAACCAGGGAGGACGCGCCTGCAGGTATAATAATGATAGGTGTCCTGGAGACACGTTTGGTCCCGGATTGGGGTCTTTGCTGCTGCTGATTGGCAGGTTGTGGTGTCGTAGGTAGGGAAGCGGTCGGAGGACGTGTCTTCACCGAACCCTCCGTCACCGACTTAAGCGTCATACCATGGTAAGTACCTTTGGTATCGATCTCGAAGCCTTCAGTCTCTGTAAATAAGAATTAACAAATTAATAAACATATTCAAAATGGATAATAACGTAAACCACGAACCTTCTTTCTTTCTAATAAACCTTTCCTGATCGTAACGATTGTATACAGCAGGTTGAGCCATGAGTCTGATTGGTGTCTGACGAGGCGTAGCCACTGGGGCTTGTTGCATGGGCCGTTGCCTGCCCTCCTCGCGAGCTTTTATACTGTGTAACATGGCAAAAATATTTTTAGCAAAGGTCTTTCCGTTCGACTGCAAGATGGTCGTTCGCGTCCGCCACTGCCTTTCTCTGCTTATGATATCTTTGGTAACATCTACATCCAGATCTAAAATGGCCCTAATATCATACTCCTGGCCTATATCGTCGTTCCCTTTAATGGTAGTCCTCTTTTTCGCCAAACGTTTAGCTTTGATGGCGGCAATCTTCTCCACAGACATAGCCTCTGACAGAGACCTTGAAATTAAAAAAAAACAAATCGTTGTATTAATATATAGCTATTTTAAAATCGCTAAAACTACTTACTTGATATTATCGACTGTGACTGAAGCCTCCTTAGGCGCGTCCAGCCTGGCAGCCAGTTGCTCTCGCACCTTCTGCACATGGAAATCCTCAAAACGAGGCTTCTTTGCAATATTTTCTGGTCCATCATATTCAGCAGATCTTTTCACCTAAAACAAAAATAATAAATATTGCGTTTTTTTTTAAATTGAATACAATCATAACATACCTGAGTGGGCAATTCTAAAGGAGCACTCTTATCAATGGCATTACAATTTGTGCTTTCACCATTCAAGTAGGCCAGTAGATCCTTCCTGTCAGGTCTCCTTACAACAGGTATATTCTCAGCCTAAAGCAAAAAAAAAACAAAAAATAGTATTAATAATGGGAATCTAATAAAGCATTCTGCGAAAGATATAACTTACAGCTGCTTGCTTCACGTAAACAGGATGGGTAAGTGAAATGTTCTTGAGGATGAAGAGCAAACATTCCAACGTATAGTATTCCTTGGTGGTGCCGTCTTTGCCAGCCCTGAAAAAGATCAGATGGTAACATTATTTACAAATATAAACAACTGCGCGAACTCTAAAAAGTTAGGTTATGTTTTGCATTTTACTAACCACATCAGGTAATTGGTCTTCACGTTTTTCGGCCAGGAGAACTCGCCGAAGATGATCTGGCTATCCCTTTCGATGATTTTCTTCTTGTTAACATTGTACTGTCGGAGTAAACTCAGCGGGTCGGCCATTTTTGCGTACGACCGAAACTTGTCACAAACACTAACAAAACAACTACTGTCACTGACTGATGCTGGTTCGAGGTTTGCCTATCGTATTTATGTCATTCGAGTTGCAGTACTGCCAACCGATAGAGTGGGGGTAGGCCACCCCCTACCAATAGGGGTTGAAATGGTTCAAGAATATACCTGTTTGATATTAACAGACGGAAAGGGTTTATGACCCCGCAACAAAAGAGAACGTACAAAAAAAAAACAAGTATATACAATAATAATTGTTACAAAATTTATTAAAAAAATACAAACTTTGTTTATACTAGAAATATAGTTTTACATGAAAAATATGGAAATATAATGATTCTCTATTAGAACAAAGATAATTTGTTTAACAATTTGATAGTTCACACAATTAACAAATGAAGAAAATTGGGGTTGATAGTCATATTTTAGAAAAACTCGTAACAAATATAGATAAATAGCAACAAAACATCTTGAAACAATGTTTTTAATGTATTCATATGAAATATAATTCAAAACAATTAAACCAAAAATAGAAGCAGCAAAGATATTAAATATATATTGAAGTTTACTTTAACTTGATTTTGGTTATGTTTTGTTACTATATATATTTAGAAAATCATCGCATATCTGCACATTCAAAACTATAAATTAATTTTGTCACGTATGAATATTACCAAATTTATGATTAAACTATACATTTGTATATTAATTTAGTTATTTTTAATAATTCCGAATATTCTGATTATTTCTCAGGTATTGTATTCAAATATACTCATTAAATCTTTAATATATAGTTCAACTTTTTCTCTAATTTCGCGTTTGTGTAATGATTGATAAAATACATTACAAATTTTTAAATTATAAATGTACTTTTTGTAATTATAATGATTGTGTGTGTACGTGTGACTTATATATGTTTTAATATTTTTAGATAAGACATTACATTTTAGTTTTAACATTAATTTCGTTCGAATATTATTTATTTTATATTTATTATTGGTAAAATATCTATATTCAATATTCCAACAAAATAAGAATTTCAGAATTCCGATCGTAAAAATTTACGATGCGAGATTTCTTAGAAAATAATTTGCATTCATCCTAAAGCATTAAACCTATTAATATTATGTTATTTTGTGTATACACGATTCAATATACGGGTAATTCCTCAAAGGAAATGCTTCAACCTCACTAGAAGTGACTTATATACGTTTTAATATTTTTAGATAAAACATTAAATTTCAGTTTTAACATTAATCTGTTGATAACTTTCAGTTGATTTGCATAAATTAAAACTATAAATTTACGAAAATTATTGAAACAATTTGATGAATTGTTAGAATATTTTATTAATCATAAATATTACCAAATATGTTGTTGTACTATAAATTTATATATCATTGAAACAATTTTAATATGTTTTCAAAGAAATCCAAACAACATTTTTATTTTTTAACAATGTTCAGGTAACAAAGGTGTTAAAGTTGTAATTTAAAATCTAGTCGAACATCAAAGATACCGGTATAAATTTTGGTTTAATATTATTTAACAAATCCCCGTTTTGTTTTCAGTTATAAAATTGAAAAGAAATAAACCTTAATTAATTATTTTATTATTAAAAACGAAAACAAAATGCAATTTTTAATAATACAACACAATGTCGAAATTGGTGAATAACTACATAAATAAAACATTACCAACGAAGTTTTATTATCGCCAAATAAAAATATGAAAACATTCTAAATGGTATCGAAATCATCCGAATTCAGACGAAAATTGTTCCTCTCTCTATAAACCGATTTTATAATTTTGTTCCATTTTTTAAATTGAACAATTCCGATTATAGTTTTCTGTTTGGTTCGACTCTCTGCTTTTAATATCACAATTTTTTGGATGACCCTCAAATACAATTTTCCTAAGGACTCTTAACAATTCTTAATCCGACACTGACGACAAGCATTGGTAATCACTCTCTATAAAATTAGAGTAAACAAATTAAAGTTGCATATCCTGAATCAGCGTTTTACAAACTGTGAGGCGCGGACTAGTCTAAGAGTAGACGCGTATATTAGTCACAGTGAGCAATTTTCCAACTGACTGCTAAAGTTTTATCTTTTTTATGAAATGGAGCCCCTTAAAGCGCCCCTAAAGGATTAATTATTTTTAAGGGAGGCGCAGTAACATCAAGTTTGGAAACCACTGCACTAAATGATGCATGCAATTTACTTTACTTTACTAAGATTGGAAATATTTAATATTTTAGGGTGTAAATAACAAGTAATATTGGGGTCAATAAAATATGAGAATGAATACTTTGAATAATTTAAAAAAAAGTGTACTATAATATAATTGCACTTTTTTTTAAAATTCCATTAATGCTGTTATTAATATTATCTATTCATTTGTTAATTAATCTTCACCAAATAAGTTTTAATTAACTACTGGTTAGATGATTAAAGTAAACAGAGAACATTGTTTACTTTTCTTTGGTATTAATAAAAGCGACAAGTAATGTCGAATTACCAATTAAGACAATAAGGCACGTGTGTAGAAGCCCCTAACTACATACATTTTCCTATAGTGTTTTAATCAGAGAGTCGAACCGAAATTAATTTCGTTGCTGTTTCGATTTGTCTAAAAATGTCGGTAACTATTGAAAATAGAAAAGAAATAACCTTAATTAAAATATGAAAATAGATGAAAAATATTTGTAAGTAAATATTTTGTTTATTTTAATCTATTTTTTCAAATTTATTCAGTCAGTACGGAATTTAACATATATAAAAATAAAAACCATGAGAAAGCATGGTAAGATAAGTATATTTTAAAAATTTTAAAATTCCCCGACTTACAAACTAATTCGACTTACGAACTAAATTTTGGAACGGAACTAGTTCGTAGCCCCCAACTTAAGATACCTGTAACTATAATTCACCTTATCAAAATGTACCATTTTCATTGAAACAATTTTAATATGTATTCAAAGAAATAAATCTTAATTAACAATTTTTAATAATGTCAAAATTGATTGAAATTTTTAATTTCGAATGTCTATATAAATAAAACATTACCAACGAAGTTTTCTTATCGCCAAATAAAAATATGAAAACATTCTAAATGGTATCGAAATCATCCGAATTCAGACGAAAATTGTTCTTCTCTCTATAAACCGTCATATGTATTATACCGACAAGCATTCTAAATCAGCACTCTATAATATTAGAGTAAACAAATTAAAGTTGCATTACTAAATCAGCGTTTTCCAAACAGTGAGGCGCGGACTAGTCTAAGAGTAGACGCGAATATTAGTCACAGTGAGCAATTTTACAAATGACTGCTATCTTTTATCTTTTTTATGAAATGGAGCCCCTAAAGGATTAAATTAAGGGAGGCGCAGTAACATCAAGTTTGGAAACCACTGCTCCAAATGATGCATGCAATTTACTTAAGTAGGCGTAAACACAACTTTCTAAAACAATCACACACAGCATTAAATTGTACTGAAAATATCTGTTGAAATTTGAAGTATACATGAAAATAAACACGGCTAATTAATTTACTTTGCATTCATATGAATTAAAACACAAAAATAAAATTAAAAAATAGTTTTTAATTAATAAAATTCATTATCAAAGAAACACAACATAAACAAAGAAATAGAACATTAAATAAACATAATATAATATGAACAAAGAAAAACAAGATAAAAATTCTGTAAAAATAACCTAATACAAATAAATACTGTATTTTATTTGAATCAAATATAACTATGAATAACGAGAAAATAATTGCACAATGCTTCAACTTCTATATTATTTATTTTATATTTATTATTTGTAAAATATCTATATTCAATATTCTAACAAAATAAATATTACTGGGCTTCCAGAATTCAGATCGTAAAAATTTACGATGCGAGATTTCTTAGAAAATATTATCAGGTCCATCATAATTTGCATTCGTCCTAAAGCATTAAACCTATTAATATTATGTTATTTTGTGTATACACGATTCAATATACCTGAGCGGGTAATTCCTCAAAGGCAATGCTTCCACCTCACAAATATATCATGTCATGTTCTTGAGGATAAAGAGCATGCACTAGAAGTACTATTGGTCTGTACCGATAATCCTCTTCTTTGCCAGGCGCTTAGCTTTGATAGCAGCTATCTTCTCCACAGACATTACTTCCGTCAACGACCTAGAAAATCGTTGTCTTGTTAATAATAAAGAAATATTTAAAACTTTAAAATTAATTACTTGATGCTATCAATTGCGACTGAAGTTTCCTTAACCGCGTCTTCTATTTGCTCACGCACGTGGAAATCGTCAAAGTGCGGTTTCTTAGTTGTAGTATCAGGTTCATCGTGTGCTGCAGGTCTTTTCACCTGAATTATATAATTAATCTATGTTTTTAATGTAACATAAAGCTAAATACTTGAGTTGGTAATTCTATTGGAGCACTCTCATCAATGGCTGGGCAACTTGTACTTTTACCATTCAAGTAGGCCAACAGCTTCTTCCTATCTGGCCTCTTCACAGCAATCATCTTCTCGTCCTGAATGTAGCAAATAATAATAATGCCTTTCATCCTATTCCAATGAACAATTAAAGAAAAAAGAAATAATTTAACTTACAGCTGCCTGTCTTGCATAAACTGGATGGGCCAATGAAATGTTTTTGAGTATGTAAAGTAGGCTTTCCAAAGTGTAGTGTTCTTTTGTCTTACCATCCTTGCCAAACCTGATAACGAGTATTATTTACAACTTATCTCAGTGGTTAGGTTATGTTCCTATTATTGTACTCACCCCCAGATCTGGCAGTTGGTCTTGGCATTTTTCGGCCAGGAAAACTCGCCGAAGATGATCTGATCATCCCTCTCGATGATTTCCTTCTTGTTAACATTGTATTCTCGGAGAAGAGTCAGTGGGTCCGTCATCTTTGCGCACCTCCAGAAATTGTTATAAGAACAATTGCAAACTATTGTAGTATTGTGTACAATAATGTCATTTGTAACAATACAGCGAATTACAGTTCTCATCATTGCCGACATCAGTTTAAAAATTCAAAATTAAATTACAAATTTTAGGCTTATCAACAAATGAAACTAACTTAAAGATTTGACTAAATCGCAAGAGAACATTAAACTATTCAAATTGTTACTGTACTTATTAGTATTGAGCTACATATTCCTATATTTAAATGAACCAATGATAAAACAGCTGTCAAACAAGTTCAAACTAATTTGAAAGTTTTTTTTAATTATATTTGTTATATAATCAAAAAAAAACTTTCAAGCCAGTGACGTAAATTCAGTCAATATTATTTTTTTGAAATATCTAAATAACAATTAAAATTGTGGACATGATTTTCAACGATTTAATAAATTATTTTCCTTTTTTTATTTGTTTCCTTCAAATACCATTAATATATTTCTATATTGTCTTCGAATTTGTATTTAATCCTATTATTAGAATATTAGACCAGCGTTTCTCAACCAACAAATAAATATGTTTATAACATAAATTGAAAATATAAAAGAAGAACTGTAACAATTGAAATATGGGTTGTGAAACGCTGTATATACTATATAGAGAGAATATCTCGTTACAAAATATTTAAAATATCCTGATGTTATGAAAACAGTGTTATACATTGTAAATTACATTCGCACCAATGCAAAAAATCATGGACAATTCAAAAATTTCCTTGCGGAATTAAAGGACAAAGAACTTTCAAATGACTTTAATTTATTTTGCATTGTTAGATGGTCATCTAGCTACAACGTATTAAATCGTTTTGTAGATTTGTTTGATTCGATAACTGCATTTCTAAAAGAAAAGGAAATAACCTATTCAGAATTAGACGATGACGAGTGGTTGCAAGACTTAATGTTTTTGACTGATTGTGACTGATGTCATGGAACATTTGCAAACACTAAATTTACAATTGCAGAGGAAAGATAAAATAATATCTGATTTCACACAGTGCATATTTAGTTTTCAAACTAAATTAAAACTTTTTCAAAAGGACATTAAAAATAAAACATTTTGTCATTTTCAAAAGCATCTGGAGAATTCGAATTAATAGAGATGCAAGAAGCTCTACAATTAAAATATAAGTCGACGTCGATTTTGGAAATTTGTACCAGAATCGAAGTATCCAGAATTAAAAAAAGGCTGCTTGTCGAATTATTTCAATATTCGAAAGAACGTACTTATTTGAATCAGTTTATTCCACTTTAAAAAGCGGTCAGTATTAACTAACTAGCATCTCAAAGAATTACTGAGAATTGCTGTCACAAATTATTAACCAAATTTTAAAGAATTATTAAGAGAAGTAAAATAAATGTGTTTAGTTTTTAATATTTATATTCAATATTTTGTACTTTTATTTATATGTTATCAATAAATATAATTTTTGTAAAAAAAAATGTTTATACCTTTTTTGCATACGTTTTAAATACGTATTTAATTGTGGCAAGCGAAAAATTTCAAATTTTGAAAAAAGGCTCTGATTATCAAGGAGCTTGGCCACCCCTGGTATATAGGATCAGTCATAATTAGTGGATTACAATAAAATTCAAATTTTTTATCAAGTACTATATATTTATTCAATACAAAAATGGTTTTTTTTGTTGTAAAATTGCTAGCAAAATTACAAGTAAAAAATATTTTTAGAGCTAATAATAGACGCATTTGATGCACATATATATATTTATAAAAGGAAGGCCTCTCCGATCTATTCAAAATCCAAAAAAGATTAAGATATCATTGACGAGTGGATTGGTGTAAATCTAACGTAAGAGCTAACAGAATCTAAACACATTTCGAAATATATAAAAGTTCAAAAATATATATATATTTATAATATAGTAAGAGCGGCGAACGATTTAATTTAAAGTACGGATAGGATTATCAAAGAAACGAGATAATTGAATAAAACCACTTGGCACAATTTCGATTTCTCCAAAGGAATCAACAGTTTTTGTTTTTTTTTCTTTCTTTTAAAAAGGAATAATTCTATAAATAAATTAAAGAGTACAAAGGGTGTGTGTGTGTGTGTATTTGTGTGTGTATGTGATCCGGCTACGAAGTTAAGCTATTTATAACAATAGCCAACGAGTATATTATATATTTACACGGTGCCTGAAACTCTTCGGTCATTTTTTTTATGTTTTGTGCTATAGGATAGGACTCTCGCGTGCTTCTGTCTCTTCATCTCGATATATATATATATATGTCAATAATAATAAATATCACATCGTAAACTTAATTAAAGCTCGTTTTCTCATTTACGTTTCAATTCGTCTCCTTCGTTCAGCTTAAAGCGTTCCATCGATTCATAAGTAAATTGCAATACGTTCATATATTTGAAGCAAGGTGTCCTATCCCGCGGTTCTTGATGGTTTCGAAGTGTTCCAAAAAAAAAGAAGCAAAATCAATTTGTGTCGTCCATTTTTTACACCAAGAGGGGAAAAAAATAATAATATATATTTTTATAAAAAAAACTGCCTCGTCGTCTTAAAGCTACGTTTACACTAAAATTATGAAGACTTAAAACGAAATCATCACAGACTCATTAAATTAGCCTGCTATATATTCATATATAAATATATATGTTGTTTTGTTTATTTGTATATAATATATATATATAAAAAAATATCAAAATATAATTACTTATCGCGTATTTTATATACAATTTTTTCTTTTTAATCTTCCGCGTTTGATTTGTATCTTTATTTGTTTCGTTTCGTTTTTTTTTGCGCATCAGTTATTGTTTATCGTCGAAATCATCGTTCGGGAATGCGGTAAGAATTTCTGGTCAGGTGACGACTGTCCAGAACGAGAGAAAACAAAAACAAAATAAGAGAACTAAGTACGTTAGGTTTCCACTTATATAGTCTAAGGAGTAACAAGCAAAAAATACTGTCTGTAAGTAAGAACCCGCCACCAACAAAAAAAGCATATAAGGCACATCTCTTAGTGGTCTCCTCGCAACAGCTCCATCAGCAGGCTGAAGCTCGGCCCTTCTCCGTCTCGGGATTTTATTGTCAACAGCTCCTTTCCAACCTAAAACAGAGAAAACATTAACTATTTTTTTCAGATTCTGAAGTAATGCTGAATATTAATGCAAATTGATATTAACTAGGTAGTTAACATTAAAAACACGCTAATATTCAACTGGTAAGACGTTCTTTGTTCTTAGTCTATATCAGTATGTCAAACTTTTTTAACTCACGGTACACATCTACTCGACTAATTTATTTTGCGGCACACTAAATAAAAATCCCAATATATAATAAACCTCTCATGGTACACTGATAGAAGACACTGGTCTATATGAATCACATTTTACAAGTACCTGCACTTTTCGTACTATTTACAAAGTACACGTTGAAGTACATTGTATTCATTTTGTATACAGGTGACTTCGCATGTAAGATGAAGAGACATAAATTAGATGTTTGTTGTTAAGAGTTAATGAACAGAGAGAACTACAACAACCTTAATCCGACCCTGACTAGATGTATGTTCCCGAAAATTTCATAACAATTTCATCGCTCGTGACAAAAGAAAAATTAACTTTTGCCTCCGATTCAGTTTTTATAATTTAACAAAATAAGAGTTAATAATATTTAATACTTTTTCGGGTTGCAAAGATTGTTATGTGAATAAGTTTTTTTTTTATGTTTTTAGAACGTTTGGATTGTAATTATTATGTGAACGAGCAGCAATTTCTTAACTTTTGGCAACGATCCTTAAAGAATTACTCGAAAGTGCTAAGTGCTATTCTTGATGGAGATTGACGTGCTTATTTAATAGCTGCATCGTAAACAAACCCAGATGCGCTGCAATGCATCCGTATTATTGCAAGCAGCGAGCGTTCATTGAAGGAAATCAAGCTGCTTATGTTATTCCTCCGTAACAAAAACATGTGGTAATTACATTTATTGGCCACGGTTATGTCCACCGGCGTTACAAACAGAGCGAATACATACCTGGCAAGTTCTTTGTAATTCGGGGATCCTCAATAGCAGTTCACCGAACTTTGCCGGACTCTCTGGATAGTGCGTGAGCGTGTAGTCCTGCAGGGCCTTCAGAGCTTTCTCTTGCGACTCCCTCACTTTCTCCGCCTCCCTCAGCTCCGAGGTGTCTATAAATAAACCGCAAATGATAAATAATGCATCTAATAGCTCGGCCGACCATTGTCTGTTATTATTATAAATTATGATCATTGTCTTTGGGGAGATTTACGAAGGCAGCTTTACGAGCGCCATTAACTATTTACATATTGAAAACTCGCTTCTTACCTGATGTAAGCAGAACGATAACTTTCATGGCAACGTATTCGTATTGATCCACGCGGAGCCTCCTCAGCTGCTCGGTGAAGTTCAGCATTCGTTCGATGAACGCCTGCATTCCCATATCTCTCGCCTGGGCCAGAGTTATGCTCTTCCCAAGAGACACGCGGATCTCCCCGGGCGTAGTCATCGAGCGGAAACAGCACGAGAAGAGGAGCAGCTCGCACCAAGAATTGATCAGCAAGCAAATTTGATCATCGATCTGCAACATTTCAAGAACATTTATAATTCAACTTTTAGGACAAACCTTGCATATTTGAAACTTACGGAAATGTTTTTAAACAGTGGCAAGCTTTTGCACCATTTGACGATTTTGTAAAGGCGATGATCGGCGATATTGCACAGGTTCGTGAGGAAGTCGGGGTTCGTGTTTGCAGAACAAGCGAGGGCGGTTCCGGCAAGCAATGGATGGGTGGATAGGTTGTGCACCGCACCACTACTTCCCTCCTTACCGAGGTGTCCTTCGCTGTTCAGCTTGTTCAATTCCAGCTCGTTGTAGTGCCACAGATGCTCCACGTCCATTATTTCCTAACAAATACACATATTTGTAGACCATTCACGTCGAATCCGAGTGCAAAATCCACTTACTTGCAATAGCGGCGGGACATTCTTGTTCATGCGCTTCGAGTGTAACACTGAGTCCTGGGGCTCCAATTTGACGGTCATATTGGGCAGATGGGAATCGCTGCCCATCCCCTGCCTCAGGTCGCTCGAACTCGCCCTGAACTCCGGATGACTAGCCAACGTCGGCGGCAGCGAGTACGAACATTGATACGTGGACCTTCCGCCCCTCGTCCGATCTTCCCTAATTGCTAAAGAAGTATTTATGTTAGTAATAGTTTCAACGTGATATTGGGATTGGGAATATGAATGGAGATGAGGATGATCGTACCTTCCAGCTTCATTCCGCACTGCAAACATTTATCGAATCGACATGCGGGGCATTTCTTGCGCGTTGCCACAGTCACCGGACAGGCGGCTCCCCTCAGGCACACGTAATTCTTCCTGTTCTGAACAGTCCGTTTAAAGAAACCTTTGCACGACTCGCAACTGAAGATTCCGTAATGAAACCCGGAGATCTTGTCGCCACAAATCGGGCACGGACTGTTAATCCACTGCTGTCTAGAAATACCGGGTTGCGCTGGTAAGGACGTGTGCACTATGCCAGTCTTATCGTCTACGATACCGCTCTTGTTGTCGTCGTCCAGGAGGTTCTCGTGGTCTTGCACGTATTGCGAGCTCGTGTGATCCTCCTGGATGCCCCTGTATAAATTATGATGAAGCGGACTGCTGTGGATGTTGGGCATATGACGACCCTGCAAAACATATAAAGTTATAGTTGTTAAGACTGCTGCACTAAAACATTTTACAAAGATCCAAGAAGAATCGTATACTAACTATTTATTAATTTTACAATCAGGACTCTTTTAACGTGCATTGATATTATTTATAAACATCTGATCTAAATAAAGTAAAAATATGCATTCTAACATGCAATGATGTCCTACTAACATGTTTATTACACAAATAATTCACTATTCGCTTAACGTAGAACAATATATGCATTATGTACGTTAAGTAAGCTCTTACTATATTAGCTAATTCGGCATAACTATAGAAGAAACCAAAATATTTGCATTTTTTTCAGTAAATGAAATGACAAATGTCGAGTTTAACATTAAAGAAATAAATTAAACATCATCGTAAAAGCATAAAAGATGGTTCAAGTAGACCTAAAGCATTAACCGATGAATAAAGACAGTCCACATAATCGTTCAGAGATAACAAATACTATCTCATATAACTTATATAGATTCTATTCATTAAATAATTAGATAAGTGATTCGATAAATAAGCTCGGAACTGCAACCAGATGTGAATTCTGCTGCAGTTGTATCAATAGAACAAAATAATCCAAATTCATAGACCGATTGACCAATATTTATTCATATTTAAGCGTTAAACAAAATGCATTTTGGATCGTTTGATCGATCATTTCAAACTTCAGACTAAAGAATGGTCAATAAATAAGATACCTTTATAATAAATGACAATGGCTGCTTTTAGTATTATAATGTAATAATAGGTAGTACTTGATTTTATATTGGAAAAACAAAAATATATTTTACATTATTAATTGTCGTAGCAATTTGAGTGTACAGTAATTTCTATAAAATGTTGTTTTTAATTGTGAGATTATGTTGATAAATTTATGAAATTAATGCTTTCTGTTTCTTTTTTCCTACCAATCCTCGTACAAGCATTTTGTAAGTGATATATTGTTTAGCGGTCAATAAAATGTTCTTTATGAATAAACAAATGAGTAGTAGTGGTTATTGAGAAATCCAGTTGCAAGTATTGCATCTGGAAAAGGCCCACACAGCGAATACGATAAGTGTGTATGTTTACTAGGCATTTATATGTTTTGCTATTTCCATTTGCGATTGTTTCATCATCTGCGACTACCAACCACCAACCAAGCAACCAACTGACCTGTATTGGGCTATGAGTAGGTGAGAATTGCTGCGTGGGTGAGACGGAAACCGAGACGCTGGAGTAGCTGCAGCAGCTCGAGTGCGAGGCGTCGCTGTTGTTCCTGCTGAGATTCGGGGTGAGGGTGACGTGACGTTGGGTCAAGGGGCTCTGCGTCGGAGATGAGAATACACTGTAGCCAGAGTGGACGGCCGAGTCGGGACTTGGCGTGGGTGGCACGTTCAGAGCTTTGTGCATCATGTCCTTGTGCATGAGGTCCTTAGCAACTAGGATGGGCAGCGGGTGTCGCTGCGAGAGGAGCGGGGAATTGCTCGGCGTCGAATGCAGAGAGTAGCTGCCCATCGGGGGTTGCTGTTTCAGTCTCATTCCTGGGCTCTCTTTGGGATCGGCGACGGGGGACGGTTGCACGTGCAATGCATTCTTGGAGCCGCCGTGGTGATGGGAGGCCTGAAGAGAGAGGTTTTCGGGTACGTGAGACCCAACTCCGCCTCCTCCTCCACCGTGGGCGACGACGTCGTCGATGCACATCTCCCTTTCGTTGTCGGAGAGTTCTCCCTCCCAGGACATCGGCCTGGGTATATCGGAGGGGCCATCTCCTGGCCGCTTCTTCTTGTGTCTCATGTTGACCATCGATTGAAAGTCGATCTGGGCGACCTCCGCGTCTGTCGTGTCCAGAACATCCCCATTGTGGACCGATTGCGCGCCGTGGCGGTCCCCATTTGGGACGGCCGTCGGCGAGTATGGCTCCACATTGATTGGGGTCACGGATACGTTCGGAGACCTCATATCCGCAGACATGGCAGCATAGATCAGCTCACCGCGCCGGCCCAACGGCCGACATCTACCATCGTCCTTTTATTCAGGAACATTCACTGAAAACACACAAACAAAAAGAACCACAATTAATACCATAGAAAAAATCCATACAACCCATCCCCATAAGATAACTAAACCCAATATCTAATATTTCGTAAATCATCTTTTTAATCAAATTAAAGTCCCTAAGAAATAATGGAAATTGAATATTTCCCTTTCAGACTCCAAAAATTTACGCAATACGGAATATTTTAAAAGATTATATTGGAAACTAATGCTGGAATAAGGTAACACTTTTAATATATGGTTTCGATCATAAAATTAGAAGGTGCGTCACATCTTCTCATAATACAGAGCATATTTATAAGTGTTCAGTTCTACTTAGTGCAAATGGGCCATAACATATCAGATGTAGTTTACTAATCATTGAAGTCATTTTTAGCAAAAAGTCATATTATAAAATTTACTAATTTAATAACAAAAATATATTGTATGAAATCCGTGTTGAAGAAGGAAATTTCTCATATAACACGAATAATATAAATAACATGTTTGGGATGACTATTGTCATATTCGCATTATATAAAAAAATATTATTAGCGCTTTGTACAAAATCCGTATAACGCGAGTCTCTACAAACGTCTAATATAATGTATTGAACTTATTCGTTGAATCTTGACAAACAAATTTTAATACATCACAACATATTCTAGAAACGTAACTACCGTGTTAAATGAAATCAATATATTTAATGTCAGTAATTGAATTATTGTATCTATAATAGTACATATAAAAAAAATGTATAATATAATCAATCATAGGCTGAAAAACTACAGTCAATGTACCCATTGTTTATGTATTTTCATGTAGGCAATAAATGATTGTAATTTTATAATCAATCAATAATAACAATAGTAGGAGGGACACTATTATTATCTGGACGGTAATTTGTCCTTCTTGTACCGTAATTTACGTGATGATTTACTTGGCTGAATGTTTAGAATAAATTTACAATTCTGAATGTTTTGATTAAAATATAGTAGTAATATGTTGTATTAGTTTCAAGTAATTAAATTTAATATCTAAATATGAGAACATTATCTTCGTAAATGATCAATATTATCGATTAATTGATATTTTGCGACAGTGATATGACAGATGAAATGCAATTCCAATAAATACATTTATTATGTCACTTTTAAACTATGAATTGGCAGAATGTTTTGATTACATTTATAATTTATATCAAAATAAAAAAGATACTTATACCTTATTAATTGGAGGCGTATATAAATATAATCGTAACATTTACGCGCTACTTAACAAGTTACTTTCCAAGTAGGAATATAAATTCAAAAACGTTTTTAATCTTAGCATTTATAAATTATATAAGATAATTACTTAATGAATCGTCAATTGTAAAGTAATTTGGTAAATTTGTAAAAGTTGGGAATTTTTATGCCGCCAAAGTTCAGTGTCTTCTCAAGGTAAACATCTCATCGCAGTTATAAAAAAAGTAATTTTTAAATATTTCTAAAAAAAATTATTGGTTAACGGAAATAAAAACTACTATGCACTATGTAAATAATAATTTAGAAGTAATAAATTACAAAACGCAACGAAAATACATGATTGAATATACAAAATAATTATAAGACAAAAATAATTGTACAGTATAAATGCGGAAGAGTTTGTGCTTCAATATTACAAAGAATTGTTAATATATCACACGGGCTTCGCACAAGTTTTAGAAAGTGAATTACATCAGTCACAGTCCACTACCAGATAGAGATCATAACCTTCTATGGATGCAGACTGGACTTTGGCATGCGTTTTTGGGCCGTGTCACAGTTTACGTGCAAAATTTTTGCATACAAAATAAATAAAATTGAACGCAGATCTAGTAACCTGGATTTTCTTCGTATTAATAAAAAAATGTTCAAAGAGACGCGGATGAGCAATTAAATAACTTATGTAATTTATTTATTGTTGATGTTCTGTACATAATTGTGAGAAAAAAAATGCATATTTAAATAAAGGCTGGTTCCATTGAGGAACCAGAAAAAGAAGAAAAGGCTGCGCAGCAGTATGAATGACACCTTCTGTCGGTAAATAATTCTCAACAAGGCAATCAAGATTGCTTTTACTCTCCATGCAGAGTTCTGCTCGGCGCGCGCGATTTTTCCAGCAATTTCGAATCGCACACATACACTCACGTTATCCCACAAGGATAACAACTTTTCTCATTTTCTCCACCGAGAATGTAGCTTATTTTTTCCTTCTTCTTCTTTGTATTTCTTCACTCTCGCATTCATTCCTTGGACCGTGCACTTTTTTTTGTTTGTTTTTCCTTTCCTCTCCCCTCGGCGTCACTGTTTTTTACTTATTTATTAATTAATATCGCAATCGTCGGAGATAATAAATAATCTTATTTAATGAAATACAACAGTTACCATTAATTTGTTCATGCAGTTGCTATTAAATGTTAATGTATGCATAGTTGGAGAAGAAAAAAAATGGCATGGAATCTCGTCTCAGATCAAAGAAGGTTAAGGGAATAGCCGTTGGTAAATATTCGTTGTTCTTGCGCATAAATTTCCAATTATGAATAATATGCGTGTGCGTTTTTTTTTTGTCCTTCCGTCCGTCGCTTCAATTTGCGACGAATTCCTCGACATTCCGATCGTAAACTTCCTCGAGGACTCCTTTCGGAGTTATCAATCATCTGACGGATTCCTACGTACTCAGCTGAGAGAAGCCGAAACGAAACGCAAGTGCAACAAATCCGGTGGTGGTGTGTGTATGTGTGCGCTTTCCAAGTTCACCTTCGTGCGAGTTCTCTCCTCCCAAAGGCACGATCGTTTCTTTCTCAATCCGCTCCTACTTTATTTCTTTTTTCCGGCACTTAGTATTACTGTTATACCGCATTGGAAGCATGCAGAAGAATTTATTCCGAGACGAGCGCTGCGAGAATGTTGCATAGCAGTTGCAATGTGAGGTAGTCCGTTGGTATTTGTAAATTGTATATTGGAATGTCGTTGATGGTGGTGGTGCGTGGCATCGACTCTTCGCCTCTCTGCTTCTTCTCGGCTCCTGACCAAACCGGAGGAGGAACGACCAATCACGAAATTTCAGCAACAAAATCGAACGTGTTCCACCTTGCAACTCGCGATTATCAATGGACAAAGAAACAATTACACACAAATTTTTGCACATGTACATTTGCATTCAATGCTCTTCTCGCTTGTACCAAGTGGACAATACCAGTAAAAAACATAAATCATGACTTTGCGTTACCAAAACAATGAAGCAAACAAATTACCAAAATCACATTTCAATAACTGTTCAATTCAAGAGAACTTTTTAATCACACAAATACAAACAACTTAATATAAAACAACTAAATATTTTATATAATTATGAAAATTATGCATTTGCTGTTAGGAATCAAATGTTTACTATAAGAAAATGTAGCTAAACCTGTTTAACAAAAAGGTTCGATTTTGTTGTTTCATATAATTTTTTTTTTGAGAAACACTAGCATGTTTACAAAATTCAAATAAAAAGAGAAACTTTTTTCTTCTGTTTGTTCGTTGTTGCCTAGCTTCGATTCGGTTTCTTTGCCTTGGTGATTACAGAAACTGGAATTTCGAAATGCAATGTTATGTTGCCTTTGATATAAACGGTAGATACAGCAGATATATCCATGTGGTCGGAAATGGTGCAATAAATATATAGATATATGTATATACTTATATGTAGACATATTCAAAGGACAAAGCGATATTTTAATTAACAGACCGAGACACTGCACCCGGCACAAACAACTAGAAACTTTGCAAAAAAAATATATAATAGAATTTCTATTATTTTTGTAGATGACAAAGTTACAGTAATCATTCGCAATGATTCATAAATAAATGAAAACTTTGTTTAATAATTTGCACTGTAAGCCAGTTTGAAATCATATTGTAAAAATATATATTTTGTGTACTTAGCAACTGCAATATACCAAACAAAATTATACAACAATATATTCGTTTCTTACAACTGTTTATAATAACCATAGCAACTATATTGATAAACTATATTCTTAAATCCAACTACAGTGGAAGCTCGCTTAACGAGCAAAATGAATTGTAAGAAAAATGACTCGCTTAACGAGCAACGTTTCGCATAACGAGTGACGATGAGAAGAGAAGGATTGCGCGCCTACTACATCATGTTTAAAACATGTGTACACATATTATGTGCATTTTTGAATATGTTTCACTAAACGAGTAAAAATCCGGAAATTTTGGAACGGATTAAACTCGTTAAGTTCTTAACAATTGGCATTTTAATAATTTACTTAAAAAAAGAAATTGCAATTAAACAGTAATCATTAATGAATCCAAATTAATTTGAAACATTTATAATTTACTGATTCATTATAAATTTAAAAAGAATGTATAAAATTATACATTTTTAACAAGTACAAAAATATCTTTGGAAAAGGCAAAGTTTCTTGTTCATTCTCTGAAAATGAAAAAAATACAAGTTCATATCTCTGTATAAATTGTATTTCATTTTTAAATATAATACTATTGCTTCTACAGGGTGAATCAACTTGGACTGACTGTTTTAAAATGTTTGTAACTTTTGAGTTTTTAATTTTTTTTAATTTATTTTTGTTGTATATTATAAAGAATTTTAAGAAATTTTATAATGGCTACGTACTCAGTGCAAGAACTAGTCAAAACTATAGAATTTTATTATATTTCCCGACGATGTATTGTTACAATGAACAAAAAAAAAACCGCGCGTATTTTAATGTTTCAACAGTTCCCAGTGCAAACATGATTACAAACTTAATCAGTTTTTAGGAACGGGTTGCAGTATGTGATCATCAACGAAGAAACGTTCATCGTACAGTTCGCAATGAAGAAGCTGTGGTGGCTGTACGACAGAGTGTCAACGATGATCAATTTGTGTCGTGGACGTACTACTCACTTGGTCATCACCAGAACATAGCTAAGACGAATATTGAAACTTGATTATAAGATGATTATATACA